TTCCCCCCCTTTTTTTTTTTTTTTTTTTTTTTTGTTTTCGTTTAACGAGCCAATGGACTCGGACGAACCCGATGCGTGACCAACGTCGCCCGCAGGGGTGGGGACAGTTGACGAAAAGTTCGAGGGGTCGTAATACGGCGCGCGGTTAATTGTGAAGGGAATTGGGACTCGTTGCGCGTCGCTTACCGTGTAAAAATGGAACAGATTTACGCGGCTGGATGGGGAGGATAATTAGTAGGCAGCTCGTGTTGCCGATTTTTCGCGAATACGCTGGGAATTGGCACGCATTATCATTCGTTTCCAGTTCTACGGGCACATTACTTCGATTTATACATGCACCATGATAACCTCGTTCAAACCTCTCCCGATGATATCTATATTTCTTCGCTTCAATCACGGATCAATTTCTATTTACCATGAACGATTTTTTCTAGCAGACCGCAAGAGTACAATAGCAATCCGCGACTATCATCGATATACAAATAAACTGTTTTGTTTTCCTCATTCGTCCCTTGCGTCAATTTGACACATTTTTCTCCGAAGAAATGACTTTGTTCTGTAATATGTAGATAAATTCAGCTGAGGCTCCGTGCCATTTATTTCAAAAAACGTGCAAATGTAACTATTTATCCCTTCATTATATTAATTCTTTACCACTGTGTCGATTTGACACCGGGGGACAAATAAATTTGGGAAAAATGAGGGACGGGTAAAGGTTAAATAAGTTTGAACGATCTTTCAGCGCTTGGTCTACACTTTGATCAACTGACCCAGCAAAAATCGATAGTCCTCTCGAGCAAATAATTCTACTGCACGCGAAAAATAATGCTGTTTCGTGAAACGATCCTGACGAAGAAAAAAAAAAGTTGTTACGCAGTGAAATGGGGCTCAGCGAAGTGCACACGGCCCTGACTGAAGGAGCGTCGACATCGTTGACTGAGCCGACGGGCTGCACGGCGCCAAAATCGATTTTGAAAAGGGAAAGTGGCATGTACGTGCCAGCAGCATGGCTCTGCATATAGATACAGTATGCGTACGATTCGCGACAAAAACGTATAGGAGGTAAAATTGCAGCCACGCCGAATAAAGGTTGCACCGCGTATGTACAGCACTCACACATGCGCGCGCACGCGCTCTTCGCCACCACCGCCATATACACACCGACCGTGCATTCGCGTACACAACACCCCCTCCACCCCCACCCCCAACACCGGGTCTCTCTGTGGTTGATGCCTCTTTTTCCTGTTTCACGAGTAAGCTCTTTCCCCCATTCATGTGTGAGCGTTAAGCTGCGTCTACACTATGTAAC